GTATAGCGAGGAGTTTCAGTTTCGTCGGTGTTTTCTAGAGAATTCCTCTGAAGACTTTCCCTGTTTTCAGATGCCTCCCTTGTTTTTCTTCTTTCTTTCTTCTTTTCTTTCTTTCTTTCTTTCTTCCTTGTTTTCTTCTTTCTTTCCTGTTTTCTTTTCTTTCTTCTTTTTTTTTTTTTTTTTTTTTTTTTTTTTTTTTTTTTTTTGCAGAATTGTGATACTTTGTGTTTTCAAATCCCACTAATGAAATACCCGTATGTCATTAATGTCCAGGTGGCATTTTCTCAATAAATGGTAAATTTGCACATTCACGTTTGTAAAACACCGACGATTTTTATGAATAGTGACTTGGAGGCTAAAAACTTTAGACAGAAATTTATTGTGCTTGTATTTTCAAGTAATAAAAGAGCGTAAATTTGAGTTAGAACTTGCACCAAGAACAAAAAATGATTTAGCGTACATAAATGACACATGCTTTGTTTATCACTGAAAAAAAAAATATAAGCATAGTTATATTTCTACTGATACTTAAACTAGAAAAGGGATTTCACGACCACCCAATATGCAATAATCTTGTGAGATATGACGATGTCGATTGAGCCCAGTAAACCCGTTCAAAGCAAGAGGACGAGAGGGCATAGAGGTCGATCGATCCAGTACACGGCAAGACTGAGTTCTTTTGGGGAAGATCAGCAAGAGCCAGCAGAGATAGCAGCTTCTTGTCTCTGGAGTGGATCAGAAAATATTAAAGAATAATGATGATTTGTTTTAAATGTTGCCCAATGTCCCGGTAAACTTTGAGTCAAAAAACAACAGTGTCTGGAAGTGGTACGGCAGAGAAGCATTTCGATGTGGCACGGGAAGCATCCTGAAGCATCCTGAAGCATCCTGAAGCATCCTGAAGCATCCTGAAGCATCCTGAAGCATCCTAAAGCATCCTGAAGCATCCTGAAGCATTCTAAAGCATCCTGAAGCATCCTAAAGCATCCTTAAGCATCCTAAGCATCCTGAAGCATCCTAAAGCATCCTAAAGCATCCTGAAGCATCCTAAAGCATCCTGAAACATCCTGAAGCATCCTAAAGCATCCTGAAGCATCCTGAAGCATCCTGAAGCATCCTGAAGCATCCTAAAGCATCCTGAAGCATCCTAAAGCATCCTAAAGCATCCTAAAGCATCCTAAAGCATCCTAAAGCATCCTGAAGCATCCTAAAGCATCCTAAAGCATCCTAAACCATCCTAAAGCATCCTGAAACATCCTAAAGCATCCTGAAGCATCCTAAAGCATCCTAAAGCATCCTAAAGCATCCTGAAGCATCCTGAAAGCATCCTAAAGCATCCTGAAGCATCCTAAAGCATCCTAAAGCATCCTGAAGCATCCTAAAGCATCCTAAAGCATCCTGAAGCATCCTAAAGCATCCTGAAGCATCCTGAAGCATCCTAAAGCATCCTGAAAGCATCCTAAACCATCCTAAACATCCTAAAGCATCTGAACATCCTAAGCACCTGAAGCATCCTGAAGCATCCTGAAGCATCCTGAAGCATCCTAAAGCATCCTAAACCATCCTAAAGCATCCTGAAACATCCTAAAGCATCCTGAAACGTCCTAAGCATCCTGAAGCATCCTGAAGCATCCTGAAGCATCCTGAAGCATCCTAAAGCATCCTGAAACATCCTAAAGCATCCTGAAGCATCCTAAAGCATCCTAAAGCATCCTGAAGCATCCTAAAGCATCCTGAAGCATCCTAAAGCATCCTGAAGCATCCTAAGCATCCTGAGCATCCTGAAGCATCCTAAAGCATCCTGAAGCATCCTAAAGCATCCTAAAAGCATCCTGAAGCATCCTAAAGCATCCTGAAGCATCCTAAAGCATCCTGAAGCATCCTGAAGCATCCTAAAGCATCCTGAAGCACTGAAGCATCCTGAAGCATCCTGAAGCATCCTAAAGCATCCTGAAGCATCCTGAAGCATCCTAAAGCATCCTAAAGCATCCTGAAGTATCCTAAAGCATCCTGAAGCATCCTGAAGCATCCTGAAGCATCCTGAAGCATCCTAAAGCATCCTGAAGCATCCTAAAGCATCCTAAAGCATCCTGAAGCATCCTAAAGCATCCTAAAGCATCCTGAAGCATCCTAAAGCATCCTGAAGTATCCTAAAGCATCCTGAAGCATCCTAAAGCATCCCGAAGCATCCTGAAGCATCCCGAAACATCATGAAGCATCCTGAAGCATCCTGAAGCATCCTAAAGCATCCTGAAGCATCCTGAAGCAACCTGAAGCATCCTGAAGCATCCTAAACCATCCTAAGGCATCCTGAAGCATCCTGAAGCATCCTAAAGCATCCTGAAGCATCCTAAAGCATCCTGAAGCATCCTGAAGCATTCTAAAGCATCCTGAAGCATCCTAAAGCATCCTGAAGCATCCTGAAGCATCCTAAAGCATCCTAAAGCATCCTGAAGCATCCTGAAGCATCCTGAAGCATCCTAAAGCATCCTAAAGCATC